GACCTCAGAAAAGAAGATGAGTCTAGCGGCTGTTGGCTTGTTTTTACTATGCTTCATCCTTATCCTCCACATGAAAAACAGGACCCACCGACCCAGTCCTCTGACTTGTTGATCTGCTGTGATAGTACATCGACCTCAAATATTATTATCGCACCCTTTTTGAGTGCAGCATTCAATATGTTATATTTAGCTTACAGTCTTTACGACAACTTGAGACGTGTCTAGTACCCTATCTGTTTTTTTTTCACTTCTAGCACCTACGTCAACAAAGGCCTTAATTTGCTTGCCGATAGATAGCATCAACCGTCAGATTTCAGACCGCCTTTTTCATAGGATTACATTCTGGCCAATCAGTACTTGACCTCGTATACACGTTGCTACCGGCTGCATTTAAATTGCCCTCCATCGGTACTCATTTTAGTCTTTAACAGACACACAGCAGGTTAGTATCATACTCGGTGAAAGATTACATGTCTTCTTTTCCTCAATTTTAAAGACTTCACTTAAAGATCTCGCGTGATAATTAGTTTTGTAAAATCCACGTATACACCTAAAAGACTTGTATGACTTATAATAAGTATAACCACGATAATTATAAGCCTAAATCATTTTTAAATATTACAAGCAAACTGTTTGAAATTGCCTCCTCCTTTGTCCCTGCAAAGTTATTTCACAATAGTTTCGCTTTGCTTCCATCCTTCAGTTTTTTTATTCGAGATATTGCTTTTGATATGAGCTCTGAAATAGACCATAATGCCTTTTGGAGGCCTAACAGCCTAGCTATTACAAAAATGTATACGTGGTCAGAAAGTATTATGAGGAGGGCATCATGCGAGGTTGTATTTTAGATGACTGTTACCCACCTTATTCCAGGTCCCAACATCAGAATTAAGCAAGTAAAGATTGCACCAGCAAAAATCTGACTTCCTTGTGGGAATAGTACTGTTGGATAGAAAAATGCCTCAAGAACAGTATGCTGATAGATAACTCGTCTGTGAGTCTCCCATGTGGGAACCGAATACTCACCATGCAAAAGACTTTTAAATCTGACTCTCAGGCGTAAGGTTACAGTCGGCATTTTGAAATAACTTTATTCGTGCTTTACGAAAACGCAGCACAGGTTGCCGGTTTGTGTGAAATTATATCACAGAAAGTGAGGTAGATACCCCAAAAGTCTACTCTCACTATAGTCCAGCGCAAGTAAACTTCACTGCAGCACCATGCCGCGGACGACAGACTGAAACTCGTCCAAACCCACTGCCGATCCGTTGCTTTACTTATGCATATTCATTCCTATATAAAACTGTGTATTCGTGGGCAGCCCTACTCATCCTATAACTGCGCAAATATCTAAACTCGGTGTAACATGAAAACGCTTTTTGCTGGCTGCATTTTATTCCTGACTCGTCCACTGTGCAGAAAGAAAGTCAAAGAAACTGTGGCCTCAAGATTCACGTTTTTTGCTTTTTCTCATTTTACTTTATCTAAGTAATACATTTTCATATCAACTACAAGCTAAAAGGCCTCTGACGTTCAGGTCTGAAATCACCCCCATTGTAGGCAAAAGATAAATACTACATATGCCTGGGCAAAGATCGGTAACAGAAGAGATTCGTTTTAGGAACTAAATCAAAAGGCAGTATTTTTTGAGTTCTTATGCTGCTATAATTATGTACTTTGGCCTTAAATCAAAAGGAACCAACCAACATGGTAACTAGCATGACAGATGCGGGACTGAATTTACAGGCGAGAAACGCGCAGTAACAAATAAACAGAGCTGCTGTATACTTGCTTCATTCCCTACTTCGAATGCAGTTTTGGCCACTCTCAGAGGATATCACCCATGATTAGTCACAAGGATATTGTTAAAAACGAAGAATATGACCTGTGGTATAGACGAATAGATTTCTTAAATAAGATCAACAAATACTCAGGGCCTATCGAAAGAGCGTACCAGTAGTTGCTATGTTGAGATACTGTCGCGTGCAACTGAAGTGCAGATGACCCTTTTAGGACAAGATGCGGAAATCCAGAGTTAAACATTTGGTATATAGAGGATTAGAATAAGTGATTGAGCAAATATAGATCTGTATACTGCGGACCGAAATAACTTAAATTGCATGAAAGAAGAAAGGTTTGCCTTATCCAATCTCCTATCTCTACCTGGGTGGTTGTTGGAACCATTCAGACACACAGCTCTGCTTTTTACGCGCAATGATCACTGCCTTTTGCAATTTTCTCTTGTGCACCCTCAGGATTC